ATAAGATGGTTCTACAGATTTTTTAGGCACCGTGATAGTTGTGTTGATCTTTATCAAAATTATATTTTTAAAAAATGACCCTTGAATCTATATGAGTGTGCACAAACACAATATAATTTACACAATTCCTACAAAACCTAAAAACAAAACTGTATAGCATTAACAGATGACAAATATTTGTGAAACGGTGAAATGTAAAGGTACACAAAACTATAAATAGGCAACTTAATGTTAAAAATTGTGAGTTTGGCTTTGCACCCCTGTGTTGGGCTAACACCCAATCCACAGTGCCATACAGTATGTGAACTATGTTGGTGTGCATTTCGATAAAATGGCACAGGCACACTTTTTTTGCAATGCAATGTGTTACAATGTGCAGTAAAGCAACACACTGACATGCAAAGAGTTGAATGATTGTAATTTAAGAAAAAGGTAGAATAAAAAAAAAAAACCCAAGCACTGCAATGCACTGTAACATTGCACTGCTGCGCATATACAGAATGCACACCACAATCACTGCTGGAGTAAATGAGCTGTCTCTGCACCAACACACATAATGTGCAATACCACAATGTATGTAGTGTATGTTTACATTAAGTGTGTGTGGGCAAGAGTGGTAAATTCTGTTTTATTAAAATTAATTTTTATTTTTTTTATAATATTATTGTAACCATTCTGCCAGTGTCAGTGGGTTACAGCCCAGCTGAATCCATTACATTTATTACACTGCTTTTATAGTTTTTTTTAGTTCACCTTTTGGCCAAAAATAATAAATGCACTTTTTTTGCAGGTAAAAAAATGTGCACTTATTACTTTTGTGTACAGGAGCCTGGAAAGCATTGCACCAGTAATCAGTAGATTGCTGATGCCATGCAGGTCTCCTGTAGACCTGTCAGAATATTTACTTGCTGTACGGGATGTACGGTCAAGCAGATATTCTGATAGGAAGCTTCAATTAACTACCATGATGCTCCACAGCGTGTGGTACTTCATTGGAAACTACAAGCCCACAGCCACTGAGGCTGCTGGGACTTGCAGTTCATTCATTCACCAAAGTTTGTGAATGAATGACGCAGCTGTGTGGGTGGAGCCCCGCATGACCACGCTGTTTTCAAATCTGACAGACAGTACGGGGAAATGTCTCCCGGTACTATCTGTAAGAGGGGGGGGGGGGGAGGCGGCTGCGGCTATGGGTACATGTTACATGCTCCACCCTAAAAATGGGTGCAACATGTAAAATGTTCCAAAGATTAACTTATCCTTTAAATTGATTGTAAAGGATTGTTTTTTCAGGAAGCTTCAATGAACTACCACGGCGCTCCACAGTGCCATGGTAGTTCATTGAAAACTATAAGCATGCTGGTGCTAAGGCTGCTAGGACTTGCAGTTCATTCACTCATCAAAGTCTGTGAATGATTGACGTGGCCATGTGGGCGGAGCCTTGCACGGCCACGCTGTTTTCAAATCTGACAGACAGTACGGGGAAACTTCTCTCTGTACTATCTGTCAGAATGGAGTGGGGGGTGGCTACAGCTATGGGAACATGTTACACATTCAACCCTAAAACCAGGTGGAACATGTAACATGTTCCAAAGGTGAACTTATCCTTTACAGTGATTGTAAAGGACAATTTTTTTTTTAAAATAATAAACATGCTATACTTACCTGCACTGTGCAATGGTTTTGCACACAGCATCCCCAATCCTTCTCCCACCCCCCCCCCCCCCCCACTCCCTCATCACTGGCTGTGATTTACAGAAGTAGGACCCAATTGCTCCCTCTGCTGTCTCTGAGCCAATTAGGAGGGAGAGAGCCGAGAGAGCCTCTGCTATTATGTGCTGGATCGAGAGGGATGTGAATGTGGCACTTAGGAATAGAAAAAATAAAATGAAAAGCAGTGTATTTATTACTGTATATGTAGCTTGGCAGTATACCAGTAATAAATACAAGGGGTTCAATGGGCTTTAGGATAAACACTGCTAATACCATTCTGCCCCAAGCCAGTTGACTGGGCACTGAAGGAGCAGCAGCAGACTTTACTGCACTGTTCTCCTTTCAGCTTGTTCCTTTTTAGCATATACACATACATCAAACCTAATTTCTGCTGTTTTAGGGGATTAAAAGATTTAAAAAGGCTCATACCAAGCCACATTCAGGTTCTTAAAAAAATTGTGTTGAAAAAAATACATGTAATGACTCATTAATGAATACAGAGCATTAATGCATATCTTTTAATATACACATGAACGATCCTAAAGATTCCTTAAATGGACAGCACTTTTCTGCAGTATGAGCACAGAAGAAACAAAGGCCTATTTGGATATAAAAACATATATATATTTCCAGTAGACATAGAGCAATGAGCACCTCTTCCAGAACATGCTGTACCCCTCAAAAGAGAAAATTCATTAAAAAACAACAATACCATATGCATGGACAGATTGCAAATTAGAGTTTACATGTTCCCACTATTACATAAAGAGACTTTAAAGGAACTCATAAATTTGTAACAGACTGTTTTGACAGTCAGAGTCTATCAGAAGCCTGCTTTGTTATCAATCCGTATTCTGCATAAATGCAGCATGAATGTTTACTTAAACAACAGTCAGGATAGCAGCAAGATGCTGATATCAGATGGTATTTTTCCAGTCTAGTTCTCTGTGGGGGGGCTATGTTGAGACTCTTGATAAGACTGTGATTGGATTGCAGCATCCCAATTTACTTCAAGGAAAATCTATCATGATACCCTATTTTACTGCTCCACTGTTCCACGAAATAGGTCGTGAGGGACCTAGTTCCAGGCAAGGAAAAGACAGATTCAGTTAACCTTTTCTGAACATGGTAATGTGAAAACATAGAGGCTGATCCAAAGTGAAAACAGAACACGGTGATACAGGACACCAGGTAAAATTCATGCTTGCAAGAAAACTCCCCATATAACTAGAAATCAGTTAATAAAATGATATAAAAACTACTGCATGCATACCTCTACATTTCTGTATCTACATTTCTAGCTGTTATGTTTGGCAGAAAAAAAAAAAAAGAACAGCAGTAATAGACACTCACACACACATATATTTAATGCCACATTTGTCTATATCTGAACATACCAGGGGAGATTTACTAAAACTGGTACACACAGAATCTGGTACAGCTGTGCATAGTAACCAATCAGCTTCCAACTTCAGCTCAAGTTCAAGTACATTTTTCCGATAAAATCTACAAACTGATTGGTTACTATGCAGAGCTGCACCAGATTCTGTGTGTACCAGTTTTGTTAAATCTCCCCCATTCTATCCCTCTTTCCCTTCTAGTGCCCCTCTGTGGGACTAAAAAGTAATGTATTTAATGGCAAAATATGGCCAGTTGGTATTATCCATATCCCTGTTATTTATCACACCTTTTATCTCTTTACACAGTGTTTGTGTCACTGTATTTGTGATTTGTAATTTGTGTTTGGCAATGCCCTAAACATTGTTCTTTCTCAGAGAAAATGCTTTTTCCTGCCCTCCCCCTGCAATTCTCTATGCTAGTGTAGCTGAGTAGTGGCCACAGAACAAATGTCTTCACAAAGACTTGTATTGCAGACAGGAGGGGGCTGTCAAATCAATACTGATTGCTGAATTTACTAGGTATTTCTTTGGTGCCTATTAGACTGCACAGTTACACTATATTGCCAACAGTATTGGGACGCCTGTCTTTACACACCACCTCCCGCCCGCCATATAAGGAATTGATGGGAGGACAGTGGTTCTCTGGTTCTGGGAGGATGTCATGTCATATGAAGTCCCCCCACTCTAGCTGCACATGCACACCTCAGGGGGCATGCGGAGCAGCAATCGGTGGTGCACTGCGTCCCTGGGACACAGCTGATCACCAATCATAGTAAAGAGCCAATGAGGTAGGCTCTATCATGTGATCAGCTGTGTCCAATCACAGCTGATTGCATGTAAAGAGAAAATGCCAGTTATCGGCAGTCCTCTCCTCACACTGACAGCTTGTGAGGAGAGGAGAGCCATTAAGCGGCATTTCTCAGAGGGGACATGTACACTGATCATCAGGGCACTGATCATCAGTGTCCTGATGATCAGTGTAGTCCCATTAGTGCCACCTGTCAGTGCCCATAATTGCTACCTGTCAATGCCCATACCAGTGCCCATCAGTGCACATCAATGCCACATATCAGTGCCCAGCAGAGCTTCCTTTCAGTGCTGCCTATCGGTGCCAGTCAGTGCCACCAATCAATGCTGCCTATCAGTGCCAGTCAGTGCCACCTATCAGTGTTCATCAGTCCAGCCTATCAGTGTTCGTTAGTGCCGCCTATCAGTGCCCATCAGTGCCGTCTAACAGTTCCAATCAGTGCCGCCTATCAGGGCCATATATATGATGTCTTCCTTTCAGTGCCCATCAGTAACGCCTGCCAATGCCCACCAGTGATGCCTATCAATGCCCATCAGTGCCTCCTCATCAGTGCCACCTATCAGTGCCCATCAGTGCAGCCTATCAGTGCTCATTACTGCAGACTCATTAGCACACATCAGTGAAGGAGAAAAATTACTTATTTACAAAATTAGATTAAAAACAAATTAAGAAAAAAATTATTTTTTTCAAAATTTTCAGTCTTTTTTAGTTTGTTTAGCAAAAAATTAAACACCCCAATTGTGATTAAATACCACCAAAAGAAAGCTCTATATGTCTCAAAGTATAAAAATTTTGTTTGGGTACAGTGTTGCATGACCACGTAATTGTCCTTAACTTGTTGCCGACCGCAGATAGCCAAATGACGGCTGCACTGCGGCCGGCCAGTTCTGGGTGGACGTCATATGACGTCCCCCCAGAACGCGCTCTCCTGCGCGCCCCAGGTGGCGCGCACCCGGCGATCTCCGTGATCGCTGTGTCCTACGGACACAGCTGATCACGTGATATGGTAAAAGGCCAATCATACCGGCCTTTTACCACGTGATCAGCGGTGTCCAATGACACGCTGATCACAGGGAAATGCAAGTGCCGGTTCTCGGCTGCACTTTCCTCACGCTGTCAGATCGTGAGGAAAGTACTGCCGAGAACCGGCAGTTGTCAGAGCGAGGATCAGCACCGATCATCAGGGCACTGATGATCAGTGCCCTGATGATCGGTGCCCAGCAGTGCCACCCACAAGTTCCGCCCACCTGTGCCCAGCAGTGCGCCCACTAGCTCCGCCCACCTGTGCCCAGCAGATCACCCACCTGTGCCACTCTGCACCCAGTGTGTCACACACACCTGTGCCCAGAAGTGCCACCTACCTGTGCCCAGCAGTGCCACCCACCTGTGCCCACCAGTGCCACCCACCTGTGCCCACCCACCAGTGCTGCCCACCAGTGCCACCCACCAGTGCAGCCCAGCAGTGCTGCCAGTCAGTGCCACCAGTCAGTGCCCAGGGGTTGTGCCAGTCAGTGCCGCCAGTCAGTGCCCAGCAGTGATGCCAGTCAGTGCCGTCTATCAGTACCCATCATCAGTGTCACCAATCAGTGCCGCCTATCAGTGCTGCATATTAGTGCTGCCTATCCGTGACACCTCATTAGTGCTGCCTATCCATGCCACCTCATTAGTACTGCCTATCAGTGCCCTTTAGTGCTGCCTATAAGTGCCCATCAGTGCCGCCTATCAGTGCCCATCAGTGCTGCCTCATCAACGCACATCAGTGAAGGAGAAAAATTACCTGTTTGAAAAATTTTATAATAGAAACAAAGAATTTTTTTTTTTTCAAAATTTTGCACTTTTTTAATTTATAGCGCAAAAAGTAAAGCGCCCAGTGGCGATTAAATACCACCAAAAGAAAGCTCTATTTGTGATAAAAAAATGATCAAAATTTCATATGGGTACAATGTTGCATGACCGCGCAATTGTCAATCAAAGTGCGGCAGCGCTGAAAGCTAAAAATTGGCCTGGTAAATAAGGGGGTATAAGTGCCTGGTAGGCAAGTGGTTAAAAGTGCGACAGCGCTGAAAGCAGAAAATTAGCCTGAGAGGAAGGGGGTAAAAGTGCCTGGTAGGCAAGCGGTTAATGGCATCCCAGTCTTAGTAAATATTGAGTTGGCCCACCCTTTGCAGCTATAACAACTTCAGCTCTTCTGGGAAGGATGTTCACAAGGTTTAGGAGTGTGTCTGAGGTCAGGCACTGATGTTGGATGAGAAGGCCTGACTTGCAGTCTCCACTCTAATTCATCCCAAAGGTGTTCTATCAGGTTGAGGTCGGAACTTTGTGCAGACCAGTCAAGTTCCTCCGCCCAAAACTCACTCATCCATTTCTATATTGACCTTACTTTGTGTATTGGTGAACAGGCATGTTGGAACAGGGAGAGGCCACCAACAAACTTTTCCCACAAAGTTGGGAGCATGAAATTGTCCAAAATGTCTTGGAATGCTGACACCTTAATAGTCCCCTTCACTGGAACTAAGGGGCCAAGCCCAACTCCTGAAAAACAATTGGCACAATGCAGTCAGGCAAGTACCATTCTCCTGGCAAACCCCAAACCCAGACACATACTGTATATTAGATTTCCAGACAAAGAAGCATGATTTGTCACTCCAGAGAACATGTTTCCACTTCTCTAGAGTCCAGTGGTGGCGTGCTTTACACCACTGCATCCAACGTGCTGCATTGCACTTAGTGATGTAAGACTTGGATGCAGCTGCTCGACCATGGAAACCCATTCCATGAAGCTCAGGTTTGTGCTAATCTGAAAGCCACACAAAGTTTGGAGGTCTTTAGCTATTGACTCTGCAGCCAGTTGGTGACTTCTGCGCACTGTGCACTTCAGCATGCTTTGATCCCGCTCTATCATTTTACGTGGCCTACCACTTCGTGGATGAGTTGCTGTTTTTCCCAGTTGCTTCCACTTAGTTATAATATCACTAACAGTTGACCGTGGAATATTTAGTAGCAAGGAAATCTAATGGATCGACTTATTGCACAGGTGGCAACCTATCACGGTACCATGCTTGAATTCATTGAGCTCCTGAGAGCGACCCATTATTTCACAAATGTTTGTAGAAGCAATCTGCATGTCTAGGTGATTGCTTTTATACACTTGTGGCCATGGAGGTGATTGGAACACCTGAATCCAATGATTTGGAGGGGCGTCCCAATACTTTTGGCAATATTGTGTATATTCAGACACCCTGTACAACTGTTGTACCTGGAAAGTGTAGGCATGACTAATGGACACTGTGAGAATAAAATCTTTCTGTTTACATACCTATTTCTTTGACTTTAGCTGCGCTTTGAAGGTGAAGTTTAACTAAACAAAAAATCCCTACATATTTAGTCACGACTTACAACATTGAGTAGGAGCTGAATCCAGGTTTGGGACAAACCATTTAACACTGATAGGGGCACTTACAATGATCAACTTTTATTTGTTTCTGTAAAACCTTAATCCCAACATGAATAAAGCTGTTGCTGTAATTGCTTATAAAGTATTAGCTGGGGTTTGGCTTCAAATTGTTAGTGTGTTTAAATCTGATAGTACATCTAACATTATCCTTCCTCCAGACCAACAATGCTGCTGTTCAAAGGTGCCCCTGTGCTCCTTCACCCACAGTGGAATTCTCTAAAAAAAGGAGGTGTGTTACAAGCCAGATCATCGGGGAAAAACTCTGTTTATTTCAGGTGAGCTGGACTCTACAGTTTTTGTGGTAGGTGTTAGATATTTTACCTAGTTGGATATGGGGATATATATGTATGTGTATGTACATATATATATATGCATATATATATATGTGTGTGTGTGTATCCAATTTATATATATATATATATATATATATATATATTGCTGTACTGAGATGTTGATATGTTTGTTAGTAGGGAGGTCCACATTGGTGGGTTGCAGCTTTTTCCCTCTTTTGGCTCATCTTGGGCTTTTTTGAGGATATGGAAGTGGATGCTTGTTTGCTGGGTTTTTCGTATATCAAGACACACCTGGTAAGAACGGCCTCGGCGGAATAACCCCACAAAAAACCCATATTTAGTAGATATTGATTTTGTATGTATTGTATTGATGATTCTGTTACTTTTATTTGTAATTCTGTAAAGTTAAAATAGTTTATTGTTGTATTTTAGTTTTCTAGAGGCTTTTACATGCAACTCCCTGTAAAACTCCTGAAGAAGCCAGAAATTTGGCAAAACATGTCGAGTTGGAATTGTTGCATTGTGAACTTCAAGCCATATGAAATATCATGTTGGTTTTATATTTTTTAAAACTACTAATGTGATGTAGTTTTGTTTCTACGTTAATATGGAATAAAGCTTTGTTTTGATTTTAGTACATACTAAGTGTCAAATTTGTTGAGCACCTAAAAAATCCATTTTCTTCTTATATAATGCTAGGTGAAAACAAAGGGGAAAAAGCCTAAAAAAAGAAAACAAATTCAGCCACCACATCTAATAATTGGTAAGTTGCAATATATTATATCTTGGGTTTTGGGTTTAATATCGCTTTTAGTCATACCTCCTATCTAACATGACTTTGTTAACACAATTTTAATTTGTGGAAGCCTCAATGGGTTGGAGCTTTATCAAGGTGTGCAATGTTTAGCCAAATCAGTCTAAATAAAATTTGTGAGTTGGGACTCCTGGATCTTAGAACTCACAAAATATCTTTTTATACTGTTTAAAGAAGACGACTCAACCTGAACATCTTATTAGTAATGCTTGGAGAGGTCTGACAAAAACCCTCTGTGTTAATTTCCTGGTTGTACATAATATAATTAGTGTAACACTTACTGATCACTTGTATGTGATGACCTTGGGCTGTATATATTACAATTTAATATGTTTACAAATTCCACTGTAAATATGTCCATTGTAATTTGCATAATGCTGAAAAATTCCACCTTTCTGCTAACGCAATACAAGTCATTAGAGTAAATAGTTTTGTTTTCGGTGGACGTGAGCAATTGGGTTTTGTTTCAAATCAAAATACAGCCATGTTCTTTCAGGCTTACTTATATGAAAGTACTTGTGTAGCACTACCCACTTAGAAGTTGCTAAATTTGAAAAGATTTGGGTCCCTCTATAGTCCTGCACAGTCATGCAACATGTATTTCTCTCACAGACTTGCACTCCAGAGACAGTAAACAGTCCTTGAGCATGTTTTTGTTTTTTTGTTTTTTAATTAAGGGGTTAATAACTTGGATGGGGTAAGGGGTGTATGGGATGCCCAATGGAACTGAAAACTGAGGACAACTTCCTGGCAACTATGTACAAATCTTTACACAGCAAAACTTTATTGAAGAGCTCTCCAGCCTCTCCTGGTGTACTACTCTAGATCCCAGATGAATCCTGTTCTCATCTAGCTATCTGGAGGAATCCCTGGGCAAGGGGATCCAGTGCCTGTCACTTTAAGTTTAAACAGTCCAGGGTGTAGGGCTAGTCAGGTTTCCCACCAGAATGCCCTCTCCCCTTGTTTGGCCAAGGGGGTGTAGGATTACTCACTGTTCCTCTCTTGCAAGCTGTAGGTTGGTAGCTGCGTTCAGGCCTTCTGCATGGCTGGCTCCTTCCTTAGCTCCACAGATGGTCATCTCTCAGGGGGACAGTGAGGTTCAGTTTTCCTCCTGTTCAGATCCCACCTGGAGGCATGCCCCTTCCCACTACCCCCACTCCCAGGCTCCTGCATCTCAGCCTTCTCTACATCTTCCACCCAAATAAGCCTGCTGCTGAGCAGGCTTAGCCACACTTAAAGGCTGCTCAGGCCCCATGCCTAACCTCCTGCTTGGGGATTGGCCAGATTCCTCTAAGTGTACAGGCCAGGTTCTACTCACCTCTGCCCACTGCTTCTAGAATGTTCTCCAAGTTTCTAGAGCAAGGGGAGGCATCAGGGAACTGATCTGCAGAGCCTTCCAGCCCTAACCTAAAATAACCCTCTGACTCAGCCTAGGCTGCTATTCAGCGTTTCTAGCTGAAAAAAGGTACCTAGCTCCCCCTGGCTATCTAAAGGGGTGCTGCACTTGCATATATTTTAACATGGACCAACAACTTATTATGTGTGTCTTACGTATTGAAAAAAGTTTGGTGAGCTGTTACAGAAGTTCTCAGGTAATGGCTAAATGACCAATTTTTGTAGCTCAGTTATGCTACTATAATCTTGTATGATGGATCCCTTTCATTTGTATGAATTTCCAATGGAGTTAATATATTAGAGATTTTTTAGAGCATTAATGAGTGAACAATGTCCTATGATTGCACATTTGACATTAAAGAGTATCCAAACCCAAAAACTAAAATTGAATGTAACATTGCCTAACACTTCTTAGATGTTATGCCTGCATTAGTTTCCTTCTCAGGTTTTTTTATCCTTTATTTTTACCTGGTGATCCTGCCTATAACATACTTCCTATTCTAGGGTGACAATTCTCATTTAAAGCACTGTATCTATGGCGGAGCAGTGTTGTCAACCTAGAACAGGTTGACTACTCCCTGTGCCAGCCTTTACTACCTGCCCCT